CTGCAGCCTGGGGCAGCGGACCGGAGCGTGCGGTGTTCTCCGGGCCGGGCCGGGTCAGAGGGCGGACAGAGCCCCCTCTCTCCCGACACCGCTCCGCCTCAAGCACGCTGGACACTCGGCCCCCCAGGCACATTCCTACCGCCGGACTGGCCAGGGCCGTCAGGGAGAGCTGATCACCAGCGCTGGCCGGAGGCTGTCCTGATCGATCACAGCAGAACGGAGCCTTTTCTGTTACCTTTTGCTACTTGGGATTGAAGATCCGGGGACGCTTTGTCAAGCGGTGCGCCGCCTGGCTGCTTACAATTCCGGGACCTGGCGGTCGACTTCCATGCACCCTGCAGAGACGGGCTCTCCCAAGCCGGTTCGGTTGGGCTCGGCCCAGGCTCCCCGGCTGTGATTCTGGTCGCTTCTCTCTGTCCCAGAATCCGCTGGCTGCTGCAGACTCGGGACCCCGCCCCGTTCCTCGGGGAGTTATGGCTCCACCAATCACATGCCGACGAGTACCCAGAAGGAGGCGGACCTGCTGCCAGCATTGACCAATCAGCCCTTCGCAAAGGGACTTCAAAGGCCGTCAAGGAGCTGTTTAGCAACAGCGAGCATGAGGTCGGAGACGTCTGACTTTGTCATGCTTGCTCCAGAGAAACTACAGCTCGCTACCACACAAACACCTCCTACTGTTGCTGCCAACGTCTGCAGAAACAACACTGGTCTACTGCACTGGGACTGAAGCTCCTATTGCAACAGACTGGTCTACTGTACTGGGACTGTAGCCCCTATTGTAACAGACTGTTCTACTGTACTGGGAGTGTAGCTCCTATTGTAACAGACTGGTCTACTGTACTGGGACTGTAGCTCCTATTGTAACAGGACTGTTCTACTGCACTGGGACTGAAGCTCCTATTGTAACAGACTGTTCTACTGTACTGGGACTGTAGCCCCTATTGTAGCAGGACCCCTATGAAATTTTAGTCATGTGAATTCAGTGCTGGTAAGAGTCTGGCTAGAAATTAGTGTAAGATCTTTACTCAGTAATTACTGCTCATTTGAGGACAGATTCACACTTACTGTTTAAGGAATAAGGAATGGCCTAGACCACAGGCTCACTCAGTAGTGTCACACAGGAGTCTGGGAAGAGAGGTACTGTCAAGCAGAAATAAGAGGACCAGGTAGGACTAACAGGAGAGAGACCAGACATCCAGTTTACTTGGAAACTGTGCCCTAATCCAGCTCTGTCTAGTTCAAAACGAGCCTGTTGTGCTCGTTATCAAGGCAGGATTCTGACCGAACAACACGATTTGAGTTTTCTCAGAGCCGAGCCGAGCCGAGCCGAGAAAGTGACGTCGTTGGTGCAGAGCTGGACAGCAGAGTGCCTGAGCAATATTGCCAGATCTGGGCGAGAGAGGAGCAGGACAGGACGTCCCAGGACTCCTGTAGCACCCGGGACAGGCTGTGAAACTCATCGGTCGAATGTGAGAGGATTTCCAAGTCATTCTGAAACAGGTCATGTCCACAGGCCCCAGATAGGCAGCCCTGCTCCTTTAGTGACTGGGGGACTTTAAGGAGAAACTGAAGGAATAAGTAAGGGAAAAAAACGACAAGATGCGGTCTGTTCTATTTATTTTTATTAAAACGTGCTTCACAACGTTGCGTTGAAGAATGAAAGTCCCCGTGCACAAGCAGACCACACAGAACAGCAGCAGTCCTTATTCACAGCATGTACACGCCCAGCCACGACAGAACAGAGAGAGTCCACAGCAGCGTCGCTCGGACAGAGGCCCCGAGTCCACACACAGCAGCCGGACAGGCAGGACGCCTGCAGCTGCTCAGTCCACTGCAGGGCAGCACGATGGACAGGGCCCGACTGGGGGGACAGACTGGGACTCACGTTGGAGGGGAAAAGCAGAAGCATCAGGCAGGGGGAGAGGGTGGGGACACAGTGCTACCAAGGAATTTTAGCATTTTATTCTCCTCGTTCAGGACGACACACACCTCGGCTTCATTCTCTTCTCCGATTGTTGGCCCTCGCTTGCCCCCCTCCCACCACCCCGCTCTGGACAGCCCCCCGTCGGCCCTCGCTTGCCCCCGTCCCGCCCCCCTCCTCAGTCTCTCTCTGTATCGGGGTACAGCCCCTGCCCACGACCTCCTTTCCGTTTCGGGGTGACCAGCGCGGCCTCCCCCGCTCTGTGGCTCACAGGACAGCTCTCAAAGCTTCGCGTTCCAGCCCCAGACCTGGCGCTCGGAGCGAGCTCCTGGAAGACGGAGAGAATTCGAGGTGCACACAGACCTACAGTGGGGGAACAGTCCTGCCGGCCTCTCCGCCAGCCCCCTGCGCCCCCTCCTCCTGCCGCCTCTCACACCCAGTGCGCCAGTCTGGACGGGGGGGTGCAGTGCGGCGTCCCGTGGGGCTGCAGGGGGACGGTCTCCCACATTTCCTCGTGGAGCCCCAGCCCGGACCCCGCGCTGCCCTGGGAGCACCCCGACAGACTGCACCCCACCCCGGCCCCGGCCCAGCCCCCACGCAGACGCCCCGCCAGCACCCGGGAGGCTGCCCGGAGCCCAGCTGCGCGGCGCCCCCTGCTGGGGCCCCTGCTGCCGGCCGGGAGGTGCGGGGGTGGCCCCGAGATCTCCGTCAGGAAGCCCAGGCTCTGGGAGGGCAGGCTGTACAGGGGGAGCCCCCGGAATATTTCGGGGAGCAGCAGGGAGCCAGTGCCGTGGGACCCCTCCCTGGCGTGCAGGGGGAGCAGGGGAGCGGACTCGAACCGAGCCAGCAGGAAGCGCTCGCCGGCGCGGCCCTGCAGGCAGTCGGCGAGGATGCAGCTCAGAGAGGCGCTGAAGACGTCGGAGTACGGGGAGCCGGAGGGGACGAGGCGCCCGCGGGCCCAGGCCTCGGCCCGCTCCCAGGCCCCCCGGGTCAGGATCAGAACCACCTTGCCGCCGTGGCGCTGCAGCTGGCCCAGCCGGGCGTGCAGCCAGGGCACCGGGCCCAGAGCGCTCAGCTCCGCCTGGCTCCACAGGTCCAGCGACACGGAGAAGCCCAGCGCCGCCAGCGCAGAGCCCAGCCGGCACACCAGCGCCGGGAGAGCCGGCTCGTCGTCCGGGGGATACAGCAGCACCACCTGCCCTCGGCACACCGCTCCTGCGGCAGGGAGACACACGGAGCACAGGAGTGAGGGGCAGAGAGCTGGGGCTGCCTCAGGACAGGGACACAGACTCAGAGACAGACAGGAGAGACACACACACCCTGGGACAGACAGGAGAGACACAGACT